GATCTAATTAGTGGCACTTGTCAGCTTATCCACTGTTAGCGTAACACACCCGCTTTAAGGACACTGACCGCTATTCAATCTATAACAGTAAAAAAAGTTTTTTGTTTTTAAATCCAAGCTATTGTGACACCAGATCTAATTAGTGGCACTTGTCAGCGTATCCACTGTTAGCGTAACACACCCGCTTTAAGGACACTGACTGCTATTCAATCTATAACAGTGAAAAAAGATTATTTTTTTTTTAAATCCAAACCATTGTGACACAGGATCTAATTAGTGGCACTTGTCAGCGTATCCACTGTTAGCGTAACACACCCGCTTTAAGGACACTGACTGCTATTCAATCTATAACAGTGAAAAAAGATTATTATTATTTTTAAATCCAAACTATTGTGACACAGGATCTAATTAGTGGCACTTGTCAGCGTATCCACTGTTAGCGTAACACACCCGCTTTAAGGACACTGACTGCTATTCAATCTATAACAGTGAAAAAAGATTATTTTTTTCTTAAATCCAAACTATTGTGACACCAGATCTAATTAGTGGCACTTGTCAGCGTATCCACTGTTAGCGTAACACACCCGCTTTAAGGACACTGACTGCTATTCAATCTATAACAGTGAAAAAAGATTATTTTTTTTTTAAATCCAAACTATTGTGACACCAGATCTAATTAGTGGCACTTGTCAGCGTATCCACTGTTAGCGTAACACACCCGCTTTAAGGATACTGACTGCTATTCAATCTAATACAGTAAAAAAAGTTTTTTTTTTTTAAATCCAAACTATTGTGACACCAGATCTAATTAGTGGCACTTGTCAGCGTATCCACTGTTAGCGTAACACGCCCGCTTTAAGGACACTGACTGCTATTCAATCTATACAGTGAAAAAAGATTATTATTTTTTTTAAATCCAAACTATTGTGACACAGGATCTAATTAGTGGCACTTGTCAGCGTATCCACTGTTAGCGTAACACACCCGCTTAAGGACACTGACTGCTATTCAATCTATAACAGTGAAAAAAGATTATTTTTTTTTTAAATCCAAACTATTGTGACACCAGATCTAATTAGTGGCACTTGTCAGCTTATCCCCTGTTAGCGTAACACACCCGCTTTAAGGACACTGACTGCTATTCAATCTATAACAGTGAAAAAAGTTTTTTATTTTAAAATCCAAGCTATTGTGACACCAGATCTAAGTGGTGGCACTGGTCACCGTATCCACTGTTAGCGTAACACACCCGCTTTAAGGACACTGACTGCTATTCAATCTATAACAGTGAAAAAAGTGGTTGTTGTTTTTTAAATACAAGCTTTGTGTCACCAGATCTAAGTGGTGGCAATGGTCACCGTATCCACTGTTAGCGTAACACACCCGCTTTAAGGACACTGACTGCTATTCAATCTATAACAGTGAAAAAAGTGTTTTTTGTTTTTAAATCCAAGCTTTGTGACACCAGATCTAAGTGGTGGCACTGACTGGGGAAATGGGCACAGTATGCACTGTGAGCCTGACACAGAAGCTGGCAGCAGTGGCAGACAACTGACTGCTATTCAATCTATAACAGTGAAAAAAGTTTTTTGTTTTTAAATCCAAGCTATTGTGACACCAGATGTATTTGGTGGCACTGACTGGGGAAATGGGCACAGTATGCACTGTGAGCCTGACACAGAAGCTGGCAGCAGTGGCAGACAACTGACTGCTATTCAATCTATAACAGTGAAAAAAGTTTTTTGTTTTTAAATCCAAGCTATTGTGACACCAGATGTAATTGGTGGCACTGACTGGGGAAATGGGCACTGTGAGCCTGACACAGAAGCTGGCAGCAGTGGCAGACAACTAAGTGCATTTACATTAGATAGAAAAAAAAAATCCAAAAAAAGCATACCCTTATCCCTAACCTAGCTATGCTTTTCCCTATCTTATGAACAGCAGCTACACTTTCCCTCCTCTTACTAAGCATGCAGCTTGAGAATGAATCTAAAATGGATGCTGTCCAGTAGGTGGGAGGGTCTGCTAGGGAGGCTGTGCTGCTAATTGGCTGGAATGTGTCTGCTGACTGTGAGGTACAGGGTCAAAGTTTACTCAATGATGACGAATAGGGGGCGGGTCGAACCGCGCATATGTTCGCACGCCGTGGCGAACGCGAACATGCTATGTTCGCCAGGAACCGTTCGCCGGCGAACCGTTCGGTACATCACTACTCCTGGTGAGTCTTTTTTGTTATTAGTAAGTCACCTAAAATTTCTTAGAACATTGCCACCCTAATGTGTCAGTGGGGGTGCGCGTTCATTGGAAAAGTTTGACAGTATGAATATGAACTTCTCAAAAGGGGATGACCTGGTCTAACCATAGACTATCTAGACTTCCTATAAACCAGGGGTGACAAAAGGGTAGTGCCACAGAACAACTAGCTTACATATAGCTGGGCAGTGGGCACTTGCCTCTTGGCCAGCTCTGCTCTACAGATAGCCCCATTTTATCTTCATGTTTATAAGAAATAAATTTTAACACAAATTATCAACAAGACAGGCCACCTGATGTTTTACAGTACTTATTGGCTGACTACTGTGTTTGATTTACACAAAATGTCTTTAGTTTATGCTATTTTGTATATTTTAAATTTCACTTGAAACAGAAAAACATGTTCAGGTCTGTACAGGGTTGGATTAAAGGGACACTGCAGGGACTGTAACTGCTTTATTTCATTGAAACGGTTATGAATAGTGTCTGAAGTCTTCCTTCCATTCAGTGTTAAATCATTCTTTTTAATTTTTTTTTACATTTTAATGCTAAACAAGAGTCTACATCAGCCCATCCGCTCTGTGAAGGAAGTATTAGCCTGAGCAGCAGATGACAGTGGACCACTTGTATCCTATCACAATGTCCATTACTGGTATACCCTTTGGTTAGAACCTGCGATGCGATCATGTCACTACCCGTCCCCCTTTCCTCCCACGGGTGTAACAGTGGGGTGGGGGTATGCAATCCTTTAGTGGGGGCTAGGCTGTGGGTGACCATAGACCCTTATTTAGTGTAAAAAGGCAAAAATATATCAGACAATACTTTCATTTTTAAATAGGGCTAATTATATATCATATCTGTGACCAGCAGGGATTTGAGATATGTAGTTCCCCACTTGGCAGCAGTTATGGTCATTAAAAGACTTGAGAAACTGCTGAGCAGACAAACTGAAATCATACTGTACCTCATTCATTCATTCTTTTTTTTTTCTACACCACTTCCCCTTTCTGTGCCTTCCCACCATCCTGTCACCATCTTCTGGATGGATCTTCGTTGACTGTCTACAGCTGAGCTCTTCCATTGTGGATCTGAATTAAAGTGGTTCACCCCAAACTTGCCTTCCTTAACTATATTCCTCTTCTCTTACTCCTGTAAC